TTTGAGAACATTTTTACGTCAACATCCGAACTTATTTTTAAAAAAAAAATGCATGAGTTCATTATTAGGCTTGTAACCTCCTATTTCAAGTTTATGACAAACTTTATTTATTTAAGTTTCAAAAGCAACCTTTAAATTATAGAAGCAAACAGCTCTTAAAGAGGCCGTTTAATTATTACGTAGTCATAGAACAGAGGGGTGCAGCTGGTGATTTGCGCATTTTTGCAGACAAGGGGGTTAAAGACAATGCTTACGCAAGATACATTAAAATTTATTTATTTTCAGCATTTTTATAAAATGCAAGCTAAAAAATGAAACAAAAAAAAAATTTTTTTTCATTTGTAGAAAATTTTACATTTGGAATAAATGTTGAATTTAGTGGGAAAATTAATAAGTTCAGAGATTAAAGTTTTGTACACCAAAGATTTCTAAATATTCTACGCATAATTTAATAAAATGAATTAAAGCGTAAGTTCTGTCTTACGCCAATTGGCATCTTTTATTTTGACTTAGTCCTAAAATTATATTGCTACATTAAAAGTCAAAGTAAAAACCAGGAGGCTGAAGAGTTACGACTTTCTCACGTAAACCTGGGAGGGGGTTTGTAATTTGCTTATTTTTGTCTAAAATAAGTCTGAAATTTCCAAAAATGTGATATTTAAACGGCCCTAAATCAGTGATTAATGCGTGTGATAACTTTCATACGCAAGAAGTTCGTCTCGGATCCAAATTACAGTAAAGCATTTAAGCCCATTACATGCAAAAAGCACTGAACCCCGCTAAGTGAGATGACAACAAAATTTTTTTATTGCATTTCCAAGATTCCTCTAATAAAAATGAATTCTGAAAATAAAGCGGTGACAAAGGAGGGTTAAGGGGGGTGGGAGACAGAGCAGACGTAATTGGAGAAGCCTTTCCGCAGGGGGTCCGGTCGCGTGCGGGGCTCTCTGCGGGTGGACTTGAAGCGCGCACCCGGGATTCCGAGAATATTTCATGCTCTCAGAATCATTGGAGGAAGGCTGCTGGCGCCAACTATCTCTCTCTTTCTTTTCTGCAGGGTTGCCGTGAGTTCTCATTCCTAAGATCATTGGAAGAAGCCAATAAACTCTTTTGATAACAATAGTTATGTTTATATATTTATTAATTTTTATATGTTTTTTTATTTTAGGATTGAGATAGTAATTGCTGTGTTTTTAAAAGAATAAGATTAAATTCCTCTCCCTACCAATTCATAAGAATTTAAAAAAAAAAAAAATTTATGCAAAAAGCAGACATTAAAAATACTAAAATTAAATTTTTTAAAAAAAATATATATACTAAAATATTTTGCAAATATAGCTTAATAAGATGTTTTCAAACATAGCTTTCAAACATAGCGTATTAAATTTAATTATAGTATTTAAATGAAGATAAATGTTCGAACATACAAAAATTACAGAAATGTTCGAACTTATTAAAATTATAAAAATGATTAAAAATAAAAATTATTCAAGATTTCAGGTATTTATTTATTTATTTTGTAACTATATATAAATTCAGCTAAATGAAAAGTTCATGTGATATCTGTATTCCTATGCAAATAATTAGAATGCCGAACTTTAAATTTGATTTCTCGAATTAAAATAACTATAACTAAGAAATACAAATGATAAAATAATACCTTTTATTGCCTTATTACACTGTTGTATAAATATTTAAAAAAATATATATGCACCCATTAAATATTTGAAACCTGAAAGTTACTTCTATTAGCAATGATTTTACTTGACCTATGACTTTTAAATTATTTATCTTTAAAAACATTTTACGAGAAATGTTTATTTTTCTATTAAATATTAAAACAAAAATTTAAAATTTGCAACCAGTAAGTCGAAGGTCTTACCGCGCATCATAATGGTCATTATCAGGATTATCTAGACAAAAAAAATTTTTCACCAGAAAATGAAAGTGTGATTTTAATAATTCTAATAATGAACAAAATTATGATTTGTTAAATAAGCTAACGTTTCGAATTTTTTAAAAAAAAATAATAATACTATAATTAGGATTAAATAAAATTGCATTACGTTACACTACATAGCTAAAATATGAAATAGGTATGTGCTTTCGCATAGTAAAATCTTGCAGCATCTCAATTCATCTGATGATTGAAAAAAAATGGAATACCGCAATAAAAAAAATTGTAGAAAAAAAGGAATACCGCAATAAGAAATTCTAGGTTGCTTTTAAAATGTTATAATCAACAACACATTTCAGAATCTTTTTTTTAATTCGTTAAAAGAAATATTTCTTTCGTAATCAAAACAATTAAATAAAGTTAAGGTTTCTTGTAAGAATTAATTTAGAATTACAATTTGTACTTTAGAAACTAGAGTAAACAAATTGAAAAATCCATGGAATTTCCTAAACTCAGACCACCCTGTTGACCAAAAAGAAAAAAAAATTCCGTTGATAGCTTCCCTCACCCAATAGTCATCAAACTTATCTGTTTCCCATGCATATATAGAATATTTTTTTCCAATCCATTCTTCTCAAATTCCCGAATAGAAAAGACTTCCGGAATGTACCGTTTTACAACCGTTTGGCGCCAACGATGATCCCCATCCTTGGGTAAAAACAAACACATCAACCTGAATTTACAGCTTTTTTCAGAAACTCATATATATCTACACACAAACCAAATGTACTGTTCATTCTTGCAACTTCAAGAAACCCCCAATGTGGTTTTAAGGAATCAGTCAAGGTTGAATAATAGCTTTGCTATGGATAGTTTGATTCAAGAAGCTCTCCCACTGTGAAAATGAACTCTTGCTCTGTCATGTTGTCGCCATCCGAAAAGTCAAACCCTTGGTTATTTTCCAAAACCCCTTTCTATAAAAGCATCGGGGGTCCCGGAAAAGGGGTAAAGTTCCTCGGCGACGATACGCATAGGCGCCGAGCGTCAACTCATAAATCCCTGGCGCCCGTCGTCACTTCATTTACTGCGACGAAAACGGCTAATAACATTTCCTCGGTATGGGCGTTCGCAATATGCAACTAATTGGTGATATCACATCCCTTCTTAGAGAGAAGTAAAATATTGTGACATCTGAAGAGTGATCCGTGAATGTTTGGTTTGATAAACTGTGGCAGAAAGGAAAATGAAGATGTTTTCTTTTCAACAAGAAGATGATTGCTTGTTTTATTTGCGGGGCCTATGCTCTTTTTTTTATGCACATCTAAATGGTAAAGATATAAAAAAATCTTTGCCTTTGCAATTACGCTTTTATTTAATTGGGAGAGAGGCAATTCTTTGAGTTGATGGATATGAGCTATAGTGCAAGATGAAAGATTGCTGGAAATGCTGTAAAATCAATCAAATAATCAAAAATCCCATATGTATAATTTCTATTCGTATAAAAGAGGTTTCTAAACAGAAGGAGTTAGAAAAACAAGCAAAATTCGACGAGAAAATGTAAGTTATACAGCCGACTAAATTTTCGAATTAACGCCTACCAATGTTTAAACCTGATGCAGAAGACAAGGGAACTCCCATATTAAGTATTGGAAGAGATATGCCTTCGCGGAGGACTTTTTGTATCCCTTTATTTTAAATTAGCAATAGAAGTCAAAGATAATCTGAAGACGAAAAGGTTCTCCCGTTGTATGGCTCCTTCTTAAGAAGTAACAGAGAATTAAACAGAACAATTTCGAATTGTAAAATAACTTTTAAGAAATTTATCGGAGCATCGGAATAAGCTAAAAAAATACTGACACTATAAAAATAATTATTTAAATTACAAATAAAAGCGTACAAAACGTAAGCTTCACAATTTGTTTCAGTATCTTCAGTGAAAACATGTTTTTGACGTCTTTCAAAAATTCGAAAGTGTATACTATCGAATTCTGCAGAATTAAACAGAACAATTTCGATTCTTAAAATAACTTTTAGAAATTTATCGGAACAAGCTAAAAAAAAATACTGACAATTAAAAATAATTTTTTAAATTCCAAATAAAAGCGTGTAAAACGTAAGCTTCAAATTTTTTTTCAGTATCTTCAATGAAAACACGTTTTTGATGTCTTTCAAAAATTCGAAAATGTATACTATCGAATTCTGCCTTGAACAAATTCCAGTTTTTAAAATTACCTTTTTTTTATAAAATAAATAACAAAATCGGAATAAATACAAAATACTAAAGTAACGTCGATAAAGGGAAAGGAAAAAAAATCATGTAAGCTTGCAGACGAGGAGCAGGTATGTGGGGGTGACAGCGAATCTAACCTTAGGGGTCATGACTTTCTCAATCCTCAGCATCCCCCACCCCTCCAGCGGTGCCTTTCTGATTTATGATGACTGAGTAAATAATTATAGATGGTTCTCCACCAAATATGTATTCCAATATATATGGAGTCTGTTCCTCATAGACACACATTACTGCATGAAATCGTTTTCTCCCTCCCCGCGTTGCATGAATTGCATCTATTACGCAATTGAATACCCCACTTTTTGTTCAATTATAACTCAGTGTTTGTTTTTCCCCAACATATCACGATTTGAGGGAGAGTATTTGCTTCTTTTTTTTTTGTTCCCATATTTCTTAAGAAAAATTTGCATTTCCGGTTTTGTTTTATTTCTCCTCTTTCGATTTTGATGTGGGAAAATTGAAAGTAATGAAGTTCGTGATTAAGAAACAGTAGAAAAATAATGGTCGAAAAATGTGTTGCATTGGAAAAGCAATTAGTTGAAAGTAATTAACTGGAAATTTATTGACAAGATTGTTATTGAGTTTAAAATTTTGGAACTAATAGTACAAATTATACGTTGTAACTCGTTCTGTACAATCATAGTTTTCAATGTAATGTGTACTCCTTTTACAATATCTTTTGAAACTTTTTTTTATTCAAGGTATGTACGGTTTACCACTTTTGAAAGTATTTTATGAATTGATTATGATGATTTTTTCATTCACGTAAAGTGTTTAAGAAAGAAAGATTAACTGACTAAAATGTGTACTTACGTTGTGTAGTTTGTAGTAGAGTCCACAGGCGTTACAGACTGGTTCTCCGTTTTGGTTCCGTCTCCAGAGCGTGGTAGTGGTCGTTTTACAATTCGCGCAGCTCGTACCCGCTCTCCTCGCCGCGGACTGAAATAAATAAATAAAAAATTATTTTCAGCATGAAGCATAAACATTGTTACAAAATAATAATAATAATAATCACAAAAATAAAAATTAAATAACTTTGAAGTTCAACAAAAAAAAATTTCCAGTCTAAAACCAACCAACGAGTCCTGGTGGCTCTAAGGATCGAGCATGCGTCTCCCAATGAGGTAAACCGGGTTCGAATCCCAGCAATGGCTGGTCGATACGAATTCCACACCCGGCTCGCAATGACCACAGTTCTGACGTAAAATATCCACAGTGGTAGACGGATCATGGGTTAGATCCCCTTGCCGTTAGACGAACCATGGGAGGTTTTCGTGGTTTTCCTCTCCATGTAAATCAAATTCGGGTTAGTAGCATCAAAAAGTCCTTCACGAAGGCAAAAATTTCCTTAATACTTGATTCTAGAGTTCTGTCTCATAGATTGGGTTTGAAATTACAAGGCTACGGCATTGAACAATGGTAACCGAAAAGTCAAAATTGGATCGGCTGTTCAACGACGGTTATAAAGTAAAATAAGGAAAACAGCAACCAACAAAACAATTTTCTTGTGGAATAATAAAATGATACTCCAATAGAATGAAAATCTTAAGAACAACCTTACGAAATAAATTAATAGCTGGTGAATTAAAAAAAAGGCTAAAAATAAAAATTGAAAAGTAAAAACTTTATCTGTGTTTTGATACGAGATTATAAGTAGATGCATTTAAAACACTTATTATTCTATCCGTGTATTTGCTTAGACTTGACCACACAAATCTTGAGAAGAGACGGTGATATAATTTTCCTCAGGAAGAAAAGTCACTAAATATTTTCCATTTCTATTTAAATTGTTTACTTCGAAAGTGACGTAAATCCAACATTTTACAAAAACAAATAAAGAAATAAACTATTTAATCATTTCTTTTATTATTGTAAAGTAATCGTGTCATTAAGATTATCTTATTAGAAAAGCAATAGCAATTTTGACATTCATAATTTTTTTTTTCTTATTTCATTTTTCTTCGAAATTTAACTAATATTATGTTTTTAGCATCGAAGTAGATTGTACTTTTTTATTGCTTTTTAGGTATTTTATTTATTCAGGTAAAAATTACAATATTGGACCAGAATAAATTTCTTTATTTGAAATAATAACTTGAAAAACTAGTAACGGTTCTAAAATTGTTTGAAAAAGTTAAGAGAAAATATAAATTCCTCTTCAATATAGTTACATTTACAATATTATTATTAACTGAAGTTTTTTTTATAAAAAAAACGTGGTATGCAAGAAATAATAACACGTATTCAACATTTTTATTAGCTGGATATAAAACTGGAATTATTTAGTATTTTAATTAACTGTCAATAGTATCTAAAATGTAGTTTAATTTTCAAAGCACCCACACATTTTAAGAATTAAATGATACACAGGGGTGAATGTAAGTTCAAGGAGCCAACCTACACATTTTTTTTATTTCGGAAATCAGACATTTAAATTGTGGAAGCTAATTATTTCAGTTTTCGAAAATTATCCATTCTCATTAAATATAGCCTTGTCTACAGTTTCCCATAATTCCCCCACTTTGGCGAATCTTTTTCCTGTCTGAATGTGTCTGTCACGTTTATTTTTAATGCACCGTTTTTCTTTGATTTTTTTTTTACTCATTTCTTCGAATTTTTTATTATACTTAAGTGTCATGTCGTCATTTAAATACTTAATTGACAACATGACATCAATAAAAAATTCGTTTGAATAACGGTCAGAAATAAATCATATAATGAAACGTTATATAGCGTATTCTGCTTTCACTGCCATTAATATATATTTTTTTAATCTTAGTCAAAAAAGAATGGGATCACATTCATCACCTAGGACAAGAAGAAACAAAAACGTTGTCGAAACATGTAGAATTACTAGAGAGGAAGGCGAAATGTCTTCAAAACCAGTTTAATTGCTCTGTGAAACTTGGTGCTTTTAGAAATTGCCTTTTTGTTTTTCTCGGTGATCAAACAAGTTTTGATGTTTTCAACCCCGCTTTTCTCACCAGGTTCACTTCACTTTGATATAATTTTTGTTTGTTCTTCGTTTAAATACTTATCGGTGATTTTAAATATTAAAAAAAAAAAAAAAAAAAAAACTGTTTGCAGACGCAATAACTTCTAAATTTTCCGCCCGATTTCTCCAAAAAATTTAACAACATGAAGAATTCATCATTGAGGCATACATTCATGTTGCTGAAATTACATTTTTTTTAAAATAATTATTTAAACAACAAGAAATAATTATGTAAGATTTGTATATTTTTAAAAAGCGAAAGAAAGCGAAAGAAAAAGAAAACTCCGTCATTAGACTTTACTTTTTCAGAAAATTTTTACAAGGGGGGGGGGAATAACTTTATCCAACCATGTTAAAATGAACTCATGAAATCAAATCTTAAAATCAAATCTGCAACTGTGAATAAAAACTCCATCAGATTTTCAAACTATTTGTACCATTTTTACTCTCACCGAATTTGTTGTCAGTAGATGGGAACAATTACGTGAGTTGAAAGCCAAGAAAAAGCATTTGGCGTCAACCATTAATTTCTTATATCCGAAACTCATAAAGAACTTAAATCTTAACTCGAGTTCAGCCATTAGAAAAGATCAGAGAAATTTAAGAGTTTTTTAAGGCGTTAAAAAGCTGTTGCTACCACATTTCTAGGCGTACGTTCTTGAACGTGTTACGAAGCACAAAATAATGTTCACATACATGTAAGACCACAAGCAGAATTTTTCCTTTTTTCTACACCGAGCTATTAGATCACAATTGTCACACATATTTCAGAACTAAGAGCTTCATCCTACACTAATATAATTAATGGGATTTCAACAAGCTTAGTATGTTATAATAACCAGAGGTAAAATCCAGAAATATGATCTGCAGCAATTAGAAGTGGCGTATATTTTTATGTCTATCGATTTGACAAATTAGTCTATGGAATTTGCAGTTTAATAAGTCAGTAGCTCTGATAAGATATATTAAATGAAGAAAATTTTAATTATTTTCTTAATAGTCATATAATAATTATTATGTTTACATAATCATGATACTGTTATATAAATATTATATTGCTATACATTTGTCTCATAAATATTGTGTAAATATATTTTAATAATATTTTTAAAATATTAATTATTAAATAACAATTAGTTGCCATATAATAGTTATTATTTTACAATCGTCGTTAATCACCCAACCAAATTTTGAGTTTATGACTACCAGTGTACAACTCCTTAACCTTGTAATTTTGAACCCAATCCAGACGACAAGGGAACTCCTGCTTCAAGTATTAGGGGAAATTTGATGGATTCTGATGGAACTAATCCTTACTTGCGTTACCTGGTTAGGAGAAAACCACGAAATCCACTAATAGTTAGCCTAAGGGAAAGAGGACTCTAACCTATGATCCTTCTACCACTGATGATATTTTACGTCAGCACTGTAGTTGGTGCGAGCCGGATGCGGAATTCGTATCGACCAGCCATCACTGAGATTTGAATTTCGTTCACTTCATTGATAAGCGAGCGCTTTATACCCCGAGCCACCTAGGCTCAATAATTATTACTGTTGTATAATTATGCTGTTGTATAATTATGCTGTTTTACAAATGTTTTATAACAGTTACTGTGAATATCTAATTATTTTATTTTTATGTAAATAAGTTTTTGCTATCAATAAATTATCTAAAACGTTAGCTTCAAAGCTTTTGCAAGAAAAACTAAACAAATAAATACTAATAAAAATCGATATCTGTAATTATTTGACTCTGATTATTAAGAAAGAGATCACGCATAAATTGATTTTTGTTTCGTTCAGCACTTATAAGCACTTTCAAGATTTTATTTGCATCATTCGTTTAAATACATATATCAAATTTTTCATGTCAGCAAACTGTAAGCAGTTTCCAATTTAATATTGCTATACGTGACAAATAATACTGTAAAAACCAATGATAAATTTTACCTAATTAGTTATATTAGTATTGCATAGTATAGATTTGGTGAAAAAAATGTTATAAACATTAAAAAACAGTATTATTATTATTATTTTTTCTTACTTAACTAAATGTATAACTATTTCGGTAGTTTATGTTTAACTATTTCGCTATATTCTCCATATTTTCTCGAAAGGCAACGTGAGGCAGATTAACTAACGTAGACATAAGTTATAATGAAATAAACATTTCTAATTAAAAAAAAGAAGAAAAAACGCGCTAGAAGTGAGGAAAAAAATACAAATTCAGGACGTTATATAGACGTATTTCATTTGAGTCCTTTCAATGAAAAAGTTTTTTATTTTTTTTATTTCGGGGTAAAGGGAGAGAAAGCTAGGCGACGCCGTAACGTCGCTTTCAAAACTCCTGTCAAAGATTATCCAACCGTAAAACGACAGCCAAACGGATCTATTTGTGCCCCCCTATCTTTCTTGTCAACCCCTGCAAACTCAGGATAAGCAACGTATGGAATAAAAATAATCAGTTACAGGTGATTTCTCTGAAACAATCCTTGTAACATAGTATTAATCGAGTGCAACTATTAGTATCGTGGGTGAAGTTTCTATTAATATGATCCTTCTAACCAACTTTTAATCGGATGCAAAGATAAGGTACTGTGGGTGAATTATTTATTTATTTCTTATGCAATCCTTGTCACACAGTATTAATCAAATTTAAAAATAATGTATTGTTAATGATTTTTTTAATACTATCTTTGATGCAGATCAATCGAATGTAAGACTGTATTAATGGGTGAAAATTTTCAATAGTTATTCCAGTTTCTAGATTCCCGAGTTCCGCACACACACATAAGCTGTTCTTAGCGAAAACTTTCAGAAAAGATCCAAAAGTTTTGTTCTTTTATGGCCGAATTTGAACTTGAAAAAAAGCTGTGTACTACATCATCTTATTATTTTGAAATTGTTTCTTAATTTTCGTTTCAAGTATATGCTTTTAAAAGAT